TGTGGAGCTGACGCAAGTATTGGAGACAAGCTTTAAGGGATGGCACATCGAAGCCAAGCTTGTAGCCAACAAATTCACATTCTTGCAGACTAAGAGTCTGTCGTGCAAGTGCTTCCATGAGCTTGCGCAGGGATACCTCAAAACCACACCACTTTAGGGGAAGATTTTTAGGCTTAACTTGTGATTGGCTCATTAGAGCATCTTTTAGTCGCCTAGCAGTATCGTAATCGATGTCACTAGGCGTTCTAGCATTCAGCCTAAAGGTAACATGCTGCAGGGAATCTCCATTACTTATTATAGACTTTTGAAGCTCTTTAGGAAGAATTTCGGTGATCATTGAATGCAGCAACTCATCCTTTTGGTCAGGGGTTTCCTCGGTGCAGGAATCCTGTTGATCAAGAAATGTGCCCACAAATGCAAGACTTGGCACCTCATTTATGCCTCTCTTACTAGCTTCAGACTGTAGGGCTAGCAGGTCATGACGAATAACTTGCTCATTGGTGAGGTAAGACTTATAAGGATCATTGGCCTGCTCTCCTTCTTTGTAAATCACTACTTCTCCGTGAACATCAAGACGTTCAGAGAGCTTGAACACCGAAATGATGCCAGTTACTGCTGGCAAAATGATAGAGACAACCTCGTGGAACTGTGGCTGGCCCCCTGAGTCGAGCAGGCGGATGGAGTAATATAATATAAGATCAAGGAACTTGCTTGGCTCACGCATTATATCTTGGAGGCTTTCTTGAATGTTGGATACGATAATTTCAATGTGCTCCGGGTCATCACCAAGCGACTTTGTGAGAGATTTTTTAAGCAATGAGCTGATTTTTGAAGCTATTCGAGAGGCGAAGCGGGGAAGACCTTTCTTTGATTTTAGAAACGCACTTGGGTGTTGATTTTCTTCTTGACATTGGTTGGAATGTTGGGTATCTTCTTTAGCTTTGATTGAATCAGTGTCCACGTCTTCTTTTTCTGTATATGTAACTGGAACATCCTTGCGAAGTAGGTGTTGACTTGTGTGAGCAACCATGCGTGCCTGACGGTCGATGTCAACTAGCTCCCACTTATCAGTAAACATCGAGGTTGATACATCTCGGACGGGTGAGACGTGAAGGGACTCTTCCGCAACTGGGGTGCTGACTCGAACAAGATCTCTCTGTTTTCCGACGAACATGGCGATGAGACTCGACTTGCCCACCCCTCCCGGCCCATGAATAAGAAACACATCATCTTTGTGGGGAATGTAGCCGTCCTTGAGGGCTATTTTCAGGTATTTTTGGGTTGAATCTGCACAATCCATAATAATGTGGTTACATCCGAAGCCAAAAAAATGCAAGGTATTTCACTGGTTAGCTTTTGAGAAGTCACGCAGAAGTTGTGAGTCGTTATCACATAAAAACTTTAAAAACAGAAAGGCCGCAGGTCTTACATTTTACTATTGTTTATATAGGCATTTACCATGTGCACAGCTGCTAGCTCCCGCGCGCTGGTGTTGTAATATCTACGAGCTTTAAGTGCTCCCAGATTAATTTGGAAAGAAAAGTGCACATATATATTTGGCACGCATTCACTTTCTATGTGAGCAGGTATTTTGTATGGTAGTCGAGTAAATATAACAAGCGCTGCTAACGATAGGCTATGCATCTAAATTGTGATAGGCGAGTAGGAGCAAGCCAACCTACAGGTGATTTTCCATTTGGCATTAGACTGACACTGCGCAAATCTGAATTACACACCATGTGTGCGCACGCGCATAATGTACGCTTCAATCCTCATGCACATCACGTGCATCACACGCATATACGCTTCAATCCTCATGCAGAGAACTGACAGTGCCAAGCCTTTCGTGCAAGTGTTGCAGGCTGCAGTTGTGGCAAGCTTTCAATCGTCCGTGTTTCTGCTCCAGCCCCAGCACTGCGGGCTGGTAGCTATACGCAATACGCCAAGTAAAAAGCAACTTCACAAGCTTGATAAAAATAATAAGTATATCCGACCTGGGCCCTCGAAACCTTTTACTCAGCACCAAAGCAAATTATGCCAATCAGAAGGTACTTGATCACCCGAGAGAAAAGCACGGTGATGCTATAGAATGAGGCCTTTTACATCCACAAGAGCGTCAATGCAAGACTTTTGCGATCCAGGGGCAGTAGCTAACAAGTGTCCAGAAATGTTGTTCGGCCATCAACCCTGATTACATAATGTTGAGTAAATGCCTATTGAGAACACATGTAACTAGCGAATCTGCCAGTGCATTTTAGCACCTACAAACTCTCTCAAAGGGCTAAGTATTACTAGGCTTTGCTGGAACTCCAAAACGACCAAAACTACTTCTTCAGGTGGTAAGCAAAAAAACAGCCTCTTTAGACTTGTCCTCTCTTATCATTTTCAGGCGATTCATGAAACAGTCAAGGGCGATCTCGGTGCTAGAGAGTCTCGAGGTAAGCCCATGATAATTTGCATATTGGCTCATTCACTTGGTTTTCACACCGTAATTCCCGAATGCAGCGAAAACCCCACATATTTTTATACCTGTACCCGACGCTGAATACATGGTATTGTTCGTGGAGCGATTCATGGCTCGTGAAGGGAGTTTGGGTGCGGACAGACTGACACACACGACAACTACAGTAACCCTCGCCGCACATGCGCACTGAGGGTTAATAATAACAGTACTAGATTCTTCTCATTTAAGAATCCGATGACTTGTACATATACGGCACAAATACAACATATTGGAAAGAGAAGCGAGCAGTTCAACCTTTCGCTCGAGTTTCGCGCATACTTAGAGTAACGTAGAACATTATTATGTTATGTGCATTGTGGGAGTGCGGGTCACAACATAATTATATATACGTAGAAATATTCCACATTCAGACGATTTGGTGGGCTCACTAATTAGCTTGCCAATCAGAAAAGCTAGAGGAATTCTTGTCAGCAAACCAATGTGGTATGATCAAGCATAAGTGCAGCAACTCGGACCTACACACATAGTCACTATGTTTTCTAGTGAAGCAAACATCAATGTTAACACCGTGTAGCTAACGAAGAAAAGCAACTGTAGAGCCTGGGGCAAAGCTATGTGCTACCCTATGTCATATAGCCCCCTTGGGTCGCCAAAAAGTTGGTGCTGTCTTTCAACCACAGTGTGTGAGGTTGGAGTGCCATGATCTAGGCGGTTTTAGGCTGCAGCCTAGTACATTACGTGGGAGGAGGCCTCCTAATTTTAGCAGGGGTGTCCAGAATTCTTGACACACATCCGTCCTCAAGCCAACTTAGCTGATTTTTGCAAAGCACATGCATACGTAGCATCACAAGATCTGAAGTGCAGCTAAATGGAAGATTGCAACAAACACTTATAATTGGCGAGCAAAGGGAGCCTACCTAGTCGTGTCAACGGCCGATCTTCCATTTATTTCTATCCCACAATGCCACACAAACCGTAATGTTGTACTTCATTCTAAATCACTGACAGCCACCAAGCGTGAACTGCTCAAGCTCGCTCGCCAACAATGAGTTGCATACTTCTGGTTATTCGAGCATATATAAAATGATTCATGACTGCGAAAGATCACTCCCACATTACTTGCACCATGTATGTTTTTGGTGTGCCTGTCCTATTTATGAGGAATGCAGCTCACCTGAGCCACGGAAGTGATTATGTAAACTGTTTAAAGTAGAGCATACCTTACTTGGTATACAGATTATACTGGACTGATAAGTATCCACGTGTAAGATATCTTATCAGTCAAGATAGCTGTCTGGTTATGATGGGATAATAGTTAGATTAAAATGGTGGGTACAGTATTTGTGGCGAGTCATATTGACTTTATCAGTAAATGTCAGGGCACATGATCCATTGTAAAGTTGTAATTGCCCCCACGAACTAAATTATTTTTGCACATATGCAATGCTATACCTCCTCGAAGAATCCTAGCACTACACCCTTGATACCTATCGTCTTTTCAGCCACTACTACGTAGATATCTACACCACCCTGTGATTGCTGGCATGTCTTGGATAGTGCTCTTGTCTCAAGCTGCGACAATTACTAAGGAAGGAGCTCAAACCTAATGCTGGTATTCTCCCTAAACTCTTGATACACACCTAACATGTGGGCATATAGCTACTATGGTGAGAGCACGGTTAAGAGAGAGATGCGTATTGCTCAGCTATAAATGAAGGTAAATAGAAAACCTGCACAGGCCACTTCTTGTGCCTTGTCAGCTCGCTCTTACTCACCAAAAATGCACAGTATTTCCCACTATACTGATAATGTAATACCATACCTTCTAATATGATTGGCATGATAGCAGCAAGGATGGCATCTTCAAATACTTCTTTCAGTCCCTCTAGTGTCTTAGCGGAGCACTCATGATAATTCTCAGCCCCAATCTCCTTCCGCAACTGAAGACCCTCGGCATATGTTATTGGCTTGAGACGTTTCGCTTTCAGCTTTTCAATTTTAGCTTTGTCCCCCCTCTTTTCTAACTTTGTGCCAACGAGAATCATTGGGGTGTTGGGCAGTGTTTTCTAATCTCGGGAGCCCATTTCACTTTGACATTTTCAAATGATGAAGGATGAACAATGGAAAAACATACAACGAAGACGTCCGTTTGGGGATAAGCTAAGGGCCACAGCCCTTCATAATCTTCCAGACTGGATGTATCAAACAACCCGAGAGTGTATAAAGGCTCGCCTTTTACTAGTACTGTACAAGCACAATTAGCAAACACTGTAGGCTTGTATTCTTTAGGGTACCGGCCGGTTGTGTAGCTGATTAGTAGACCGACTTTATCAACTTCCCGGTCACCAACCACAACACATTTTATCGTCTGCATTCCCCTTCCCCTACAGCCGTCCAAGAGAGCGATTCCGTGTAGACCGAGGCGTAGTCGACTGCGTCGTTGTGCCGATCCCCACCACACCCGCAAAATAAATGAGTTGGCGTGACGCAAGAAAACCGCCGATATAAACTTACACGCATGCGCAAATACATAGCTGGATTGTTGATGTTTATTTCTCGCCCCTAAAGTGTCCAACCGCACTATTTTGATCATGAGCTATATTATATGCACATACGTATGCATCAACGCTCAGCACCCGCACATGCTTCTTTTGCTGAGGGGCTTATAGAATAGTTTACATACAACACAATGGATGTCATTCAGCATAATGCTCTCAGGTAATGGACTGCAATATCTTTGGCAAGACCGGTAAGCTGCCATGTCCAATGTCATTGGTGTCTGTGTGGCGGGCGTCCTGGAGACTGTGTGCTACAACTGGGACTTGCTGGAGGTGGTGGGGTGAACACTCTGCAAAAGCTGACGGTTGCTGGAGGTGGACGATGGTAGGCAATGAGATGTGCTGTCCTGCTCCTCCCCTCATCTGGAAATGTTACTACTAACAAGTAAATTAAAAATCCTGCGAATTCAAAAAGAGGCATATAGGGATGGTATAAAAAGAAAGGGAGGCAAGATAGGGATGGGATACATGAAGCATGGTTAATGAATAGATTTGAGTATGCTGACACTCCCAACCCTATCACACAATCCCTATATTGTTGTCTGGTGTGCTACTCTTATAGGGGCTAAAGGTTACTAAAAGCAAGCATTCTTTCACTGTGTCCCTGTGGCAGTATAAGTGTTACTAAAAACAAGAGGGACACGGTGAAAGAATGCTTGCTTTTAGTAGGTGAAGAATGTTGGTATAGGGAGATTTATAATTATATTGTGGGATCTGGGTTTGTCTGATGTGTAGTCCACAGACGGTCTGTGTCAGTCAGAGTCAATGTTTGTCACACTTTGTGTATAGTAACTGCATTCCACATTGTCTGTTATCACCACTGTGATCACTAAGAAGCTATAAAAGACCATGTAAATTGTAGCCAGAGAGTCATCATTTCATTGATCCCAAATCTCTGTCAGACTGCATCTCCACCGCGCTAGCAGGGTCGGTACCAATGATCGCACAGGACTAGAAGCGCTACAATATTTTTAGTGAACTGCATATCACTAAGTACGGTAGTACTTAGTATTATAGGGATTGGCATGGTACCTTGCATCATAGATGTATGGGGCTATGATAGGGAGTTTTGTTTTAGATAAGAATCCAGACCTGTTGATGAATCTTCCTCCACTGTCTGAGTGGAGATCTGGCTGGGAGGGCTGGCATGGTCATTGGTGGCGGGGGATCTGAACTTAGAACATAGTGAGCTGAAGATTGCAGCCCTAAAGAAACACAAACAGAATGCTATTAGTGGGAATTTGTTAGTATTACATAAAATTTGAGCAACTACATGTATCAAACAAAGCAATAGGACCCAGTGAAGAATGCAACTAGTAATTTTCACCTTTACAAACTACCGCGTTATATTTAGTTCGACATAATTCACCTTGCTGGACTTTGTGCTGGTGAAGAGCTTTTCTGCGAGCTTTTCTTGTGGCTTTCCAGCTGGCAAGAAACAGTCTCTCTGTGTCACTGACTTCACGACCGTCCAACATACCTGTTATAATTATTATACCGCATCAAGTTGTGGCCATGTAAGACATTCATAATTTTACTTGTGCTCTCTTTTCATACAACTGGTTAGCTGCACATTAGAGGAAAAAGACGATATTCACTTTTTATTTGAAAGGAGTTCATGAGCAAGTTCTTCCAGGTATACAGATTGTGCTAAGAACAACAATTGTCAGCAGTATTCTCTTCTAAACGTGAAGTTAAAAAGGTGCACTGGTACGGGTAATTCCCTCTTCATGGCAACTGGACGTTTTTATGCTAATTTTTATATGCACAGCATTGCAAATTTATAATAATATGCTTACAGATCCCAGCGGCCATGGTGATGACTCTGTCTCTGTACTTGTGTTTGGAGCAGAGTGGGTTTCTGGAGAGCTCCACCCTCTCAATCCCTCCCCAGTGACTGAATGTTGATGCCAGGTCCTATATTATTATTATGGTCAGTATAACAGGCAAAGGAGTTGTGAAGAAAAAAGATGATGCGAGGAACCAAAGTGATAATTTGCACACAAAAAAGCACTACCCGCCTACACATACACACACACACACACACCACCCCCACACACAGACTATACACACGCACATACACACAGCACCCACACATGGATGCACACACAAATAACTGTGAATCATGCATGTAGCTATAGACATAATGCAACATATTATATATCCTACGTACAACTTAGTAGGTTCGCCAATTAATCAGTTTGATGCCCGCCATACCTTCATGCTGGAGAGGGCATTGTCTGAGGCAACGATTGTCACCATCTTCTTGAGTGGTGAAAGATCATGAAGACTGTCGAGATTATTACCGGAAACATTTAGTAGAGCCAGTGATGCCTATGTACATAATTATGCCAAAACAGAGAAAAATAAGGTGTGTAACTTTTATGAATCTACACATGCTGATAAAAATATTGCAATGCATCCTGTTAACATGCAATTACTGTCCCATATTAAATCTGAGGAACATGTTTCCGATTATGTTCATAGCAGTGTAGCACTGCCAGTCTATATTATACTAACAGTGAGTACAACTTACAGCCGTGGCCTGAAGGGATCGCTGGTCAAAGAGCAGTTTCTCCCCCTCGGGCAGCCTCTGGTTGGCAATGTGGAGCTCTGTCAGCTGCGCACACTCCTCCAGTCCCTCCACCACCGATATGGCATTGTCATTCAGATACCTGTTGGTGAATTATTAGGCTATTGTTTTCATAGGCACAGAACAGCTTGATACTTTCAACAGGACTAGAAGAAAACTGTGTCATCAATGTATCTAATATCAAGTGTTGAGATGAGCTAGTAGCAATCTTGGGGGCATTGGGCTTACATTATAGCTAGAAATTGGCCAATGAGGCTGTTATATTGTTGCATTAGAAGGCTATTCCAGGCGTTCTCACTGAGTTTGGAGGCAATTGCATATGTTTGTATATAATATAGTGAGAATGAGATCTTCACTAGAGCTATTTACATATCAGGTGCTAGGGCGTTGGGCTTGCATGTTGTATAATGTAGTTGAAAAGGGCCCATGAGGTGTTGCTGGTGCGTTATGAAGGCTTAGCTAGATGTTTTTGCAGAGTTTTGAGTGTTTGTACTATATGACGTCGATCACGTGTTGCATTCCATCGACACTCTGATTACTTCACAATACATCCCAGTTTTCATCAGATAGACTTACAGTTTGCTAAGTCTATGTAGTGTGTTAAGGCCTTCAAGACGAGAGATGTGATTGTTCTGGAGATAGAGGTGGGTGAGGTTGGAGCATGATGTCAGGCCGTGGATACGACTGATGGCATTGCTGTAGAGGTAGAGGACTGAGAGGGAGTGGCAGCTTCCTAGTCCTTCCTGCAGGAAAAGATGACAGCAGAACTGATTTTAGGTAGGGCTGGTGTTTTGTATGCTCCAACTGTTCTTGCTATAGCCTCTGCAGCTGAGTAATCTTGCTATATATGTATATTACCTACTATGAAAGAGTAAGGCTCACATTAGACTGAATGACAAACACGTATACGAATTTGCTCACAATCCTGCTTATGCCCCGTTCGGAGCAGTAGAGGTGAGTGACTCTCTGCAGGAGGCTCTCTGTGCTCTCTCCTCTCTTTCTCCGCGTATGGCCCGTGCAGCGACCCACCATCTCCACAGTCATCCGCGCCATGTTACCACTCGGATATATAATTGATGTCCTTGCCTTCAGGAGTCGTATACACACGACGAGCGCACAAGGCACTAGGGCCACTTCAAACGTTTGTTTACCTGCTAAAAACCATGACAACAACAGTCTACGCATGCGCGCTAATGGACAATGCCGTTATATATCTATCTGAGGCCGACTTGCTAACATCAAGAGTCTCAAGTTGGTGTTGAATCTCTTCACATAGAAATTCTAGTCTCGCAAGCCAGACTCTATCGGGGGTAGAGACCATACAAATTCTTCATCAGGGCATGATTTTTAGCCAGTTTGCGCATGCGTGTACGCAAGCACAAGATATCCGCCCCTGTGTCACGCCCATTAATTTTTTTGCCGTGGTGGGTATCGTCGACGCCCTCTTGGAGGGCTGTAGGGGAAGGTGAATGGAGGAGATAGTAGAGACGATAAAATGTGTTGTGGTGGGTGATGAGGGAGTTGGTAAAGTCGGTCTACTAATCAGCTACTCTACTGGCCGGTAGCTACCCTAAAGAATACAAGCCGACGATGTTTGATAATTGTGCTGTTATGGTACTAGTGGGCGGGAAAACCTACATTTTCGGGCTGAATGAAGCGTTTTGTCAAGAAGGCTATGAAAGGATGTGGCCCTCAATGTATCCGGAAACTGACGTCTTCATTGTATGCTTTTCCGTTGTTCATCCTTCATCATTTGAAAATGTCAAAGTGAAATGGGCTCCCGAGATTAGAAAACACTGCCCAAACACCCCAATGATTCTCGTTGGCACAAAGTTAGAAAAGAGGGGGGACAAAGCTAAAATTGAAAAGCTGAAAGCGAAACGTCTCAAGCCAGTAACATATGGTGAGGGTCTTCAGTTGCGGAAGGAGATTGGGGCTGTGAAGTATCATGAGTGCTCCACTAAGACACTAGTGGGACTGAAAGAAGTATTTGATGATGCCCTCCTTGCTGCTATCATGCCAATCATGTTAGAAGGTATGGTATTACATTATCAGTGTAGTGGGTGAATAACCATGCATATTTGGTGAGTAGGAGCTAGCTGACAAGGCACAAGAAATTGCCTGTGCAGTTTTTCCATTTACCTTCATTTAAGGCTAGTGAGCATTGTTAGAAGCCTTGGCCTGGGGTCTATAGCTGAGCAATACGCATCTAGCTCTCTCTTAACCTTGTGCTCTCGCCATAGTATCTATGCCCTTACAATGGGGCAGCTGGTCACAGCACAATCTGTCGCTGCTCAATGCACATGTTTAGGTGTGTATCAAGAGTTTAGGGAAAATACCAAGTGTTAGGTTTGAGCTCCTTTTGTCGCAGCTTGAGGCAAGAGCACTGTCCAAAACATGCCAGCATTCATAGGGTGGTGTAGATATCTAGTACGGCCGTTGCGGGGAAGCAGGCCGGTTTGTTGCGCGTGGTGGTAGAAATAACAGACGCACACAGAGACAGACCGCCGCCTCGTAGCCTGTACTGCGAGGATAGTCGTAGACAAACACACAGACAGACACACAGACCAAGTACTGTACTTCCTGTCTAGCTTATTTTACGGGCCCAGAGGGATCAATTCCAAAGCTGCTTATGTCACCTGGGGTAGGATCAGGTATATCAAGAATGTGGCACCCTTCCCCTGCCTCTCTTAGAACTCCATTCATTCATATGATTATTTTTTGGGCTCCACATTCGCTCTGTACCAATAGGGTGTTGATTCCAAGCCTGGATGAATGAGTCTAAGGACCAATTTATCATAGGCAAAAACACGCAATGGAGCGGAAACAAATCAAGGTCAAGAGCTGGATCCAACATTGCCTCTTGTTCCCTGTAGAAAAGTACTTTGTGGTATGTGGCTGCGACACACCAGTACACATCTCTGCAGAGTCGTTCCATTTGCTGGTTGTGTATTGATGGGCCAGCAATGAAGCTTCCATGACCTATTCCCCTCTGCGACACTATAAATCGACATACAGCCATATTCTCTTTATCTGACCTGGGTGGTGGCACGAATCCCTATTACTGGCTGGGTACACAAATTAGCATAAGGTTGTAGCCTCTGAATGTGCTGGCGAATATGGTACCGTAATTGGGTTAATCGGGGATCAATTCCAACATACTGCATGACTTCTTCAATGTTACTCAAAACTGCTTCAAGTCTTGTTCAAGCGGCCAAGAAAAACGTTTGTAACTTAACTTTCCAGAAAATGGTTAACTAAACCAACCCACTCCATTTCTGCAACTACCGTATTTTCCGGAGTATAAGTCGCACGGAGTATAAGTCGCACCCATACTTTAGGCCTGTCATACACGGATTTGTATGGTTACTCTATTTAACGCGCACATCCACCACAGGGATCGTGCGCGGGAATGGAAGATCACAATGTAGAAGGAGAAATACGAGGGCATCATGTGTACAAGACCCTCTGGACACCAGTGATAGGTCAGATGTTAGATGTCCAGTTAGATGCATGAAATCGACGGGAGCGCCCCCCTTTTCTCGCATCCGCAGTATAAGTCACGTGTCGAAAATTTCAAGCAAGTGATTTATACTCCGGAAAATACGGTAGTATACTGGAGAGTGAAAAGAATTGCTGACAGTTCACTGAGTAAAAGCACATGTATGCATGTGCACGCCGTCATGCGGCGGACCACACAATAATGCGCAGCGTTGCCTTGATTCGCGCTGCCCATTGCTTGATACTATGCATCAATCGAACGGAAATGATCGTGATATATATGCATATAATCGAGATTACCAGTTTCAGTGTATTGGAAACAAACGGCGCGCATACTTACGTGCTTACATTACCCAACGTACAGTGATTCCAACGTTTCTCTGTATGACATGTTCTCCTTTGATTGACTGGAAAAAAAAACATATTGGGATGCATAAGTACTAATAAATACTTATATACACCTCTAAACTGGGTTCACACGTTAAACCTGACAGTGTTAGTGGTCACAAAACATCAAAAACACAGACCTATATCCCTGAGATAAGGACACCTCGATTATTAGACACATGCATGAAAATCTATATGATGTGGACGGCAAAACAACTTAGCCATGAACTACATTATCTGTCAACCTCACACCACCATACCGTCCATGCGAAAAAGCTGTGTATGTCGGCAAAAAAAATATTTTTTCAAGCTTTCAACAGATTCCGCATTGTCTACCCTTTTGCTGTACTCGTTCAAAATTTTGTGCGGAACTCCACTTAGCATGAAGTTAGTGTGAAACCACCTTTAGTGTGAACCACTTTTGTGGTCTCTCATGCAGGTTTAAACGAACTGACCATGTGTTTGGAGTGCAGTCGAGACAGCGTCTACAAAAGCTAGCTGCAGTCACTGGCCCATATCCCTAGCCATGGTGCTAGTAAAGGCTGTTGAAAGTAGCAAGAAATCGAAATCAGCAATAGCTGGGTAGCGTAGTGTTGCTATCGTGAAAAACAAGCAGAAGATTGTTGACACATTGGATACAGGTAGCTTCACGTGCTAATTTTTTGTCGGCCCAGGTCTCAAATAAATGCAATTTTTTAACCCTCGGTGCAATGCACCAGAGGATTTTGTACTTCGTTAGTCTGTCTAGTCTGCTTTACTTCATCTCACGATAAAACAAAAAAGCCATTTTCTCCAAAACTGCTTACATAAAAATTTATGCCTTTTGTCAGGTTCGACTTTTTGTTTTTCTTCCATGACTGAAACACAATTGTGGGACATGAGCCTACTATGTACTGGGATTAAATCTCAGCATCCGACATAGTGTATCATACAGGTGATGCGAGTACGATTCTTGCTGGTGCGATTTATAGATTTTGTTTTTGCAAATTCTAAGAGGTAGTAAAGTAGTTATAGCTACTTGGCATATTTTTTTGCTTCGGATGTAACCACATTAATATGGATTGTGCAGATTCAACCAAAAAATACCTAAAAATAGCCCTGAAGGACGGCTACATTCCCCACAAAGATGACATGTTTCTTATTCATGGGCCGGGAGGGGTGGGCAAGTCGAGTCTCATCGCCATGTTCGTCGGAAAACAGAGAGATCTTGTTCGAGTCAGCACCCCAGTTGCGGAAGAGTCCCTTCACGTCTCACCCGTCCGAGATGTATCAACCTCGATGTTTACTGATAAGTGGGAGCTAGTTGACATCGACCGTCAGGCACGCATGGTTGCTCACACCAGTCGACACCTCCTTCGCAAGGGTGTCCCAGTTATAACTCAGGTTATGAGCCCAGGTACAGAAGAAAATGTGGGTGATGATTCAATCAAAGCTAAAGAAGATACCCAACATTCCCACGAATGTAAAGAAGAAAATCAACACCCTAGTGCATTTCTAAAATCAAAGAAAGGTCTTCCCCGCTTTGCCTCCCGAGTAGCTTCAAAAATCAGCTCATTGCTTAAAAAATCTCTGACAAAGTCGCTTGGTGATGACCCAGAACGCATTGAAGTTATTGTATCAAAAATTCAAGAAAGCTTCCAAGATATAATGCGTGAGCCAAGCAAGTCCCTTGATCTTATATTATATTATTCCATCCGCCTGCTCGACTCAGGGGGGCAGCCACAGTTCCACGAGGTTGCCTCTATTATCCTTGCCAGCTGTCACGGGCATCATCTCAGTCTTCAAGCTCTCTGAACGTCTTGATGTTCACGGAGAAGTAGTGTTTTACAAAGAAGGAGAGCAGGCCAATGATCCTTACAAGTCTTACCTCACCAATGAGCAAGTTATTCGCCAAGACCTGCTAGCCCTACAGTCTGAAGGTAGTAAGAGAGGCATAAATGAGGTGCCAAGTCTTGCATTTGTGGGCACATTTCTTGATCAGCAGGATTCCTGCACCGAGGAAACCCCTGACCAAAAAGATAAGTTGCTGCATTCAATGATCGCCGAAATTCTTCCTAAAGAGCTTCAAAAGTCTATAATAAGTAATGGGGATTCCCTGCAGCATGTTACCTTTAGGCTGAATGCCAGAACGCCTAGTGACATCGATTACGATACTGCTAGGAGATTAAAAGATGCTTTAATGAGCCAATCTCAAGTTAAGCCTAAAAATCTTCCCCTAAAGTGGTGTGGTTTTGAGGTATCCCTGCGCAAGCTCATGGAAGCACTTGGACGCCAGACTCTTAGTCTTCAAGAATGTGAATTTGTTGGCTACAAGCTTGGCTTCGATGTGCCTTCCCTTAAAGCTTGTCTCCAATACTTGCGTCAGCTCCACATCATATCATTCTACGATGTTTTGCCAAATGTTATTTTTGGAAGCTGTCAGGTTATTCTTGACAAAATCACTGAGCTTATCACATACAGCCTTGAGCTTAAGAAAGGTAATCATCCACTGAGCGGGGCGGACCGAAACTTCCTTCACCAGGGCATTTTGTCACTAGATATCCTTCGGTCTGAATCCTGTTCCAAGCACTACAACAATCATTTTACACGAGCATGTTTGCTGAAGGTGCTCAAGTCACTATTCATTTTTACAGATGTTGGGATCGGGGAGTACCTTATGCCTTGTGTTTTGGAGGTGAGTGATATCTTCCCACCTCTTCCACCTAATAAAAGCACCATTAGATCGTCTTTCATTTTCCATTTCTTCAAGAAAAGCCCTATGCTTGGAATCTACTGCTGCACCGTATCATATCTGCTCGCAAAGGCTGGTTGGAAACTTCTTAGTAAACGTGGAGAGGTGGTGCAGGTAGCGCGAAATAGCATTACTTTTGAACTGCCTCAAAATCTTCCAGGGAAACTAACCTTCCTCGATCCTCTTTCTTCCTACCTCGGGGTAATAGTAGAGCTTCCAGCCGTTATTGCGTCAGAGCACAGAGCAAATCTCTATCATGAAATCCGTGCTACGTTTGCGGTAGCTATAGAGCAGGCAATGCTAACCCTCCACTATGAGGTGAGGACACCTCAACTGTCCTTCTTGTGCCCTGAACAGAGTTCTCGATGCTCCACCTTGCCTCACATTTCAACAGTTGACGCTACTCACAGCTTTCTCACCTGCTCAATCTGTCCAGATATTGTTGTTCCTCCCCTCACTGATGACCAGATTATGTGGCTTGAATGTGAGTTTTAACAACTACAACTTTCATTTGTCGATGACAGCATAATTATTATTGCACCTTCTCTTCATACAGGCATTCACACTATAAGTAAAGACCCAAGATCTCCTAAAAGACGTATTGCAGCACCTTCTCTCTCGAGTATGCAAAGCTATCTGTTTATATTTTATCTGAGTGCTGATGTATTAATTTCGCATTATTTTCAGTTACAGAAGATCGTCCAACTATGCCGCAGCTTATTGATATTGACTTGCCTTCAAGAGTTGGAGAAAAATTCAATGTGTTCGGAACTCTTCTTCTCCAAGACGATTATTGCAACAAGATGGAGAACATCACAGAAGGTTGCCGCGGGAAGCCAGAGCGAATCACAATTGCAGTTCTGAGGGAGTGGCTTCAAGGGAAGGGGGTGGAGGTGTCGTGGGAGAGCCTCATAGCAACTCTGAGGAAGAGCAAACTAGAACTTATGGCTGATCAGGTACAGATGGCTCTGGACAAACTAAGATCTTGATCATTTGTGTCCCTATATTAATTATTTTTTGTACACATGCCGACAACCATTAATGTTAACTTTTCCCTGGAAAACCAAACATCTTCAACTAAAAGTCCTATATGTCATGGATTTTTTTATAGTTCGTAACTTTTGTGAGATAAAATGTTCGGGAATTTTTGCGTTTTATTAGCCATACACGAAAGTTCTCGCTGGTTTTTTAGGCGGTGGTATTTGTATTGCGGGACAAGTGATTATCGAATTTTATAGTGGGACTTGCGATCCACTAAAGTTTTTGTTTGCGACCGGCAATCCACGAAATTTGTTATTCTACATATCGACAAACATTCTTTTATTGTGGGACCAGCGACCCACGGAAGTTTTTGTTTGCCACCGGCAATCCACGAAATTCATGTGAGATAAAATGTTTGTAATTTTTTAAGCTGTACACGAAAGTTTTCGCTTGTAAATTTTTTTTCTGGTGGTATTTGTATTGCGAGACCAGCAATCCACGAATTTTTTTAATTGTGGGACCAGCGATCGACAAAAGTTTTGTTTGCGATCAGCAATTCACTTAATTTTTAAATTGTGGGACCAGCGATCCACAAAGTTTATGTTTGCGACCGGCAATCCACGAAATTTTGTTATTCTACATTTTTTTCGTGGGACCAGCGATCTACGAAAGGTTTTGTTTGCCACCGGCAATCCACGAAATTCATGTGAGATAAAATGTTTGTAATTTTTTAAGCTGTACACGAAAGTTTTCGCTGGTTAATTTTTTTGGTGGTGGTATTTGTATTGCGCGACCAGCGATCACGAAATTTTTTAATTGTGGGACCAGACGGACGACGAAGTTTTGTTTGCGATCAGCAATTGACGAATGTAAATGTAGACAGCGATCCACAAAGTTTTAGTTTGCGACCGGCAATCCACGAAATGTTTTTATTCTACATATTGACAAAAATTTTTTTATTGTGGGACCAGCGATCCACGAAGGTTTTTGTTTGCCACCGTCAATCCACGAAATTCATGTGAGATAAACTTTTTGTAATTTTTATCTGTACACGAAAGTTTCGCTGGTAAAGTTTTTTGGGTGGTGGTATTTGTATGCGGGACCAGCAATCACGATTTTTTTAATTGTGGGACCAGCGTCGACGAAAGTTTTTGTTTGCGACCGGCATCACGAAATTTCTGAAACCCGCCCGCTGGCTCTGGCCCCCCCCTTCCGATCTGCTCCTTTTGGTCCCCTTTGTTTCTATGATGATTCTCTCTGGGAGGCTCTCGTCCCCTGCGTCGGGAGGTGCCCCCTGTCGTTGTTCCGCCGCCGCTTGCGGTTTGCCCGCGGTGGCGTGCCCCCGCGCCCCCCTTCTCTTGTGATCGGTCCTAAGCCCGCATTTTGGGCCTTTGGTGGCCGCAGGACCCCGGTCCCGCGGATGGGGTTGGCTTCCCCGCTTTTGCGGATAGTGTGGGGGTGTCCCGTGCCAGTACCCCGGGCCCCCCGTTGGCGGTGTTTTCCCGAAGCTTCTCCCGCCAGTTGGGCCCTTGTCGGGTTGCTCTCCGCCTTTGGCTCGTGGCCGCGGCTGTGGAATCCGCCAGTGCGTGAGTTTCCCCCCGATTGTCGGACCCTGTCTTGGCTCGGGCCCCTCGCTTGGGGCGCTTGCGTGTGTGTTCGACCGTGCCCCGCCTCCCCCGCCTGGTGGTAGTGCTGGGTAGCGGGGGGTTCTCAAGCCTGGTGTGTCCGGGCTGTCGAGTTACTTTCAACACAGTTGTTTCTGTTCTTTGGCGTGCGGAGTCGTTTGTGCCACCCCCCGTGGCGGAGGGCCTCAGTTCACTGTTTCCGCCGGGGCGATAAGGCGGATCTGGGGCATTCGGGGGCCCCTGACTCTGCTGCGCGTGTGGTTGGCAGGTCTTTTGTCAGGTATGCCCCCTCGGTGGTGAGCCTTGGCCGCGGCCCACGCATTGCCTGCGGGCCAGGCTGGTTTTTCGGGTTGGCCGGGGTGGGTTGTGTGCTCCTATTTATCGCTGCCTGCCCTCCCGGGTGCCTCCAGGCGGGGCCGCGACCTATGCCTTCTTTCTAGTCTGTGCCGCCGGCATCCGCTCGGTGTGGCGTTCACGGCTGTGGTCAAGTGTGGCCTTTGGGGTCCGCGGGCCGCTGTGGCGGGCCTCACGCAGCTGTCCGCGTATTCCCTGAGTGCTGTCTTGTTGGATGGGGAACCGGTCCCCGCGGCCTTTGTGGGCCCCGGGGGTAGCTCAGGGATGTAGCTATCTCCATTTTGTTTTCCGTATTTATCATGGTTGTTGAGGGAGTGGAGGAAGCTGAGATTGGAATGGATTAAGTAGTGGTGGGAGACTTGGAGGACTTTTGTTTGCAGATGACTTCGTTGGTGTTAGTGAGTCTAAGGATCAGTTACAGACGCTTATAGATGTGGTGCATGCCTACTGTCGAAAATGGAGGCTAAAGGCTAATGTGAGTAAGAGTGCAGTGATGGTGTTCGCTAGGGAGTTAGGGGATGGTGCTTGGAAATGGGCGGAGTATGTTTTGCCTAGAATATCTAAATACACATTCTTGGGTGTTGATTTTACTAGTACTGGTGCATGGGATGTGCATATCAAGAATGTGTTAGACAATGGTAGAAGGAAGGCAGTTGCATAGTGTAATTAGTAATAGGGATATTAATTTGAGTGCTCGCAGGTTGTTGTTGCTGGCGGTGGTTAGGCCAACTTTAGAGTACAGGGGTGAGGTGTGGGAAGCCAATAAGACTCAGGCAGCTGCATTAGAGTCCGTTATGCTGGGAGGAGCTAAGCGCATTCTTGGGTGTTCGTCTAAGACATGTAATGAAGCCGTTAGGGGGGATATGGGGCTTGATACGTTCAGGGCGTAGGATAAGAATAAGTTGAAGTGGTGGTATAAGTTAGCGGCATTGCCAGGCAATAGGTATCGAAGAAGCTTTTTAATCAGGAATGGAATTTTAAGCCACGGAGAGGCAGGCAGAGGAAGGGTTGGATAAGGTCATTGATGATCTCTTTTCGTCATTAGGTCTTGACAAGGTAGAGTGGTTGCATGATTTTCAAAATGGGGATTGCTCCTTGAAGGGCTTTTTGTCTATAATAGGGGACAGTATTAATGAGAGGGAGATTAGAAAGTTTGAAGAGGGGCTAAATAGCAAAGTAAAGCTGTTATTGTATAAGACATTTAAGAAGGTGGTAGAGTTCAAAAAGTACTTGCATGGGAAAAGTGATGCTGGGTCTAGATTAATGTTTAAGTTCAGGTCAGGCACGCATGGGCTAAATGAGGAACTGGGCAGGCATAGGGGGAGGGAGGGGGTGAAAGAGTGCCTGTTGTGTGATGAGTGTGAAAGTGTGAGTCATGTGTTGTGGGAGTGTCCACCATATAGTAGTCTTAGGAGCAATTTCTTAGTTGCCCTGCAGGGGAAGCTTGGGGATGATGGGTTTGAGCATTTCCAGTCGCTTGATAGTTTCAGGAAAGCATCCTTTATATTGGGTAGTGAACTGTGGGAGGATAAGTTTGGTTCTTTGCTTGGCCTTTTAAAGATTTTATTTTGGATGTTTGGGAGCTAAGAAAGGTTAGGTTATACGGCGATAGTCCCTGTGTACAACAAACCCAGTCTCAGATTGTGTCTGGGGAGCTGCAGGGTGTCGCTGGTGGAAGGGGTGAGTTGAGGTGTCTGGGAGGTGAGACAGGCACCTCATGTTCATATGGTGTATGTTCGTGTGTTAACGGTTCCGCCCATTGCTCTGGGTGCATGGTCTATGGCCCTAGTGCTATGGCAGCCACCTGAGTATTATTATTATTGTGTCCCTTTGTTGTTTACTTTTGTACACATGCGGACAATCCCTTCTCCCTGGAAAACAAATCTTTCAAATGATGTAACTTATTATTTTTATGTCAGAGATCATATCAAGCTTTTGAGGAATTGAATGTTCATAATTTTATTAGCCGTCCACCAAATGTTCCTCCGCCAAATCTTGTTAGCGATCCAGTGTGACCAGCGATCCACATATTGTTTTATATTGCGGGACCGGCGATCCATGATCTATATTGCAGGACGTGCGATCCAGAAATTTTTTATATTGCGGGACCGGCGATCCACGATTTTTTGTATTGCGGGACTTGCGATCCACCGAAGTTTTTGTATTGTGGGACCAGCGATCCACAATTGTTTTTATATTGCTGGACCAATGATCTACGAATTTTTTTATATTGCAGGACGTGCGATCCATAAATTATTTTGTATTGCGGGACCAGCGATCCATTATTTTTTGTATTGCGGACTTGCGATCCACCAAAGTTTTTGTATTGTGGGACCGGTGATCCACAAAATTTTTTCTATTGTAGGACGTGCAATCTACGAATTTTTTGGGCAATTGAGTTTTCCCCGCGTTGCAACTGAAACACAAACATTTTCTGTAGAGTAGATCTTACCATTTGTGACTTATACTAACACACATGCTGCCAGTGTGACTCTAGAATTCACAAGCAGAAGCAACCTGTAACGACCATCTCCTTACTAAACACTAAAGCCCTCTCCAGCGCTTATCGCATGTTAAGTACTAACAATCTTTGAGGTGAAAATACAATAATGATCTTCGATTCAAACTTGGATCTTCCTTGTATAATATACAACACCTAGTGCTTATAACGAGGCCCCTGCATTGCAAGGGTGTAAGTATAACACGAAGGCACGTCCTTACACACAAGCCAATGCCAGAGCTCTGAGCATCCGCGGCAAGGGGGTTAAGGCCTTGTGGGGATATATGTTGCAATTTGGAAATTCAACTCTGTATCCAACTACTTATGCCTATGTGACCTAAACACCTTGTTTTTACGTAACAGAAAGTGTAGTGTAGTATTGGGATACGACGTTTTAGTGTACTAAATGGAGTTTCCTCGTCATCTTCTCCTCCTATTCAGATGCTAGATCCAAAGCTAACTCAATAACCAAATTAAAATTTTGTAGCGATGTAAAGTTTTATATAAAATGGGACGACCCCTTGCAAAACTAAGTTATGTACTGAACTTTTAACCCTTTGGACGCCACATGTATCTCCTTAAATAAGCAGTGTGTTACTGCATAAGGATAGTAGTGAGGCGGTTGTGGCGTAAATTTCAGCCTGACTTCGGAAAGATTGGGTGTAGATGCGTGTTAGATGAAACCTGCCCAGCAAAAGAGGCTGTACATGTTGCCGTACAGTGTGTTAATATGTTTTCTCAGCTAGCTGATAGTGTGGATGAGTGTGCAGCTGGGGTGCCTGAAGGCAGTGAAGTGAATCTTTCTGTTGTTAGTGGGAGGATGAGTGGCCAAGGCAAAAAGGACAGAAGGCTAAGAGTCGCTACATGGAATTTTTAAGGCCTTCGTAGTGAGCGTAAACAGAGAGAGGTAGGGGAGCTTTTGCAAAGGCTCAAGGTTGATGTAGTAGCTGGTCAGGAATCCTTGGAGAAGGGGGGAAAGGCAGTTGCGGTTGATGGCTATAGATGGTTTGGAAAGAATCGTGAGAATCAGAGTAGTCGTAGAGGGGAAGGAGGGGTTGGGTTCTTGGTTCGGGAGTGCTTGATGGACGAGGTACAGTTTGTAAGTAAAGTCAGGTATGAGGAGAGTGTGTGGATGAAGGTTCGAGGTAGGAAGTTTGTGTCGGAGCTTGAGTGGACTAGAGTAAGGCCGAGCCTGCAGCAGAAATCAGTGATAGATTATAATAGTTACGGATATGAAGTTGATGAGGGAATCTGGTGATGTACAGGTTAATATAACTGATATTGGTGCCTCGGATCATTTTCTAGTGTGGCTGGAGTTGGGCCGGGTTACAAAGTGTTGTAAAAGGCAGAAGCGGACAATAAGGAAGTGGCGTGTAGACAGATTTTTGGATGAGGGGGTTAGAGCAAAGTATAGGGAGGCCTTGAAAGCGGAGGTTGAATCATTATCAGAGAGCATCAGGGAGAAAGTGAGTGAGGGTATTAGTGGAAGTGGGTTAGTCAGTGCAATTGTAGAGGAGTGGGAGCAAGTTGTAAAAAAGGTGGCAAGGACTGAGGTAGGAGAGAAGGTAGTAGTGTGCAGTCAGGTGGTGGGATGACGATATTAAGCAGAAGATAGAGCAGAGAAAGGAGGCTTACAAGATAATTCTTGAGGGTCAGGATTATCTATGGGAGGAATATAGTAAACTGCGTAGGGAAGTGAAGAATTTAGTTGTTCAGAAGAAGCTTGAGGTTTGGAACGAGGTAGTGGAAAGAGCAAATTCAGATTTTGAAGGTAATAGGAAAGAATTTTGGGCATTTGTTGGTAGAAGGACAAAGGGTAAAAGCAAGGGGATTACAGCTTTGAGGAATAGTGCTGGGGTGTCAGTGACTAGTACAAAGGGCTAGTTAGAGGTGTTAAAGGGGCATTATCAGCAGTCGGCACTTTCAGTGTTGGCCTTTGATGATAGTTGGAAAGAAGAAAGTGGATAAGAAAGTGTGTGAGTTTGCAACAGATTGTGCGGAAAATGTATTGGATAGAGAAATAGATTTGGAGGAGATTGCATTGTGTGTTAGAAAGTTGAAGAATAACAAGACTGGTGGTAGTGATGGGCTTGTGGGGGAGCTTCTAAAGTACGGTGGGTCAGGGATGGTAGAGTTACTTAAACAGTTGTTTACAGTAATTTGGCGTGAAGAGTTTGTGCCACCACAGTGGAGGGAGGGCCTCATAGTTAACCTGTTTAAGATGGGAGATAAGGAGGATCCTGGGAATTATAGGGGCATCACTCTGCTGAGTGTGGTTGGGAAGGTCTTTTGTAAGGTATTGAACAATAGGTTGGTGAAGCATCTTGACGAGGGCAAAGCATTGCATAAGGGCCCGGCTGGTTTTAGGGTTGGAAGGGGTTTTGTTGATAATATTTATACGCTGAATGAACTCGTGCAGGGTAGACTAAAGGAGGGGAAGGAGACATATGCATTCTTTCTAGATGTGCAGAAGGCATACGATAGTGTGTGGCGTAACAGCCGGTTGTTTAAGTTGTGGGAATTTGGGGTAAGAGGGAAGATGGGGAGGGTCATAAAGAAGATGTACGAGTATTCAAAGAGTGCTGTATTGTTGGATGGGGAATGGTCAGAGGCATTTGATGTGGAACAGGGGGTAGCTCAGGCATGTAGCTTATCTCCAATTTTGTTTTCCGTATTTATCAATGGGTTGTTGAGGGAGGTAGAGGAAGCTGAGATTGGGATCGATTTAAGTAGTGGTGGGAGACTTGGGGGCCTTTTGTTTGCAGATGAATTTGTTGGTGTTAGTGAGTCAAAGGATCGGTTACAGACGCTTATAGATGTGGTGCATGCTTACTGTCAGAAATGGAGGCTAAAGGCTAATGTGAGTAAGAGTGCAGTGATGGTGTTCGCTAGGGAGTCAGTGGATGGTGCTTGGAAATGGCGGGAGTATGTTTTGCCTAGAGTATCTAATTACACATACTTGGGTGTTGATTTTACTAATACGGGTGCATGGGATGTGCATATCAAGAATGTGTTATATAGACAATGGTAGAAGGAAGGTTAATTAGTTGCATAGTGTAATTAGTAATAGGGATATTAATTTGAGTGCTTGCAGGTTGTTGTTTCGGGCGGTGGTTAGGCCAACTTTAGAGTATGGGAGTGAGGTATGGGAAGCCAATAAGACTCAGGCAGTGTGTTAGAGTCCGTGATGCTGAGAGGAGCTAAGCATATTCTTGGGTGTTCGTCTAAGACATGTAATGAAGCCGTTAGGGGGGATATGGGGCTTGATACGTTACAAGGGCGCAGGGATAAGAATAAGTTGAAGTGGTGGTATAAGTTAGCGGCATTGCCAGGCAATAGGTATCCGAAGAAGCTTTTTAATCAGAAATAGAATTTTAAGCCACGGAGAGGCAGGCAGAGGAAGTGTTGGAGTAAGGTCATTGATGATCTCTTTTTGTCATTAGGTCTTGACAAGGCAGAGTGGTTGCATGATAATCAAAATGGGGATAGCCCCTTGAAAGGGTCTATAGTAGGGGACAGTATTAATGAGAGTGAGATTGGAAAGTTTGAAGAGGGGCTAAATAGCAAAGTAAAGCTGTTATTATATAAGACATTTAACAAGGTGGTAGAGTTCAAAAAGTACTTGCATGGGAAAAGTGATGCTGGGTCTAGATTAATGTTTAAGTTCAGGTCAGGCACGCATGGGCTAAATGAGGAACTGGGTAGGCATAGGGGAAGGGAGGAGATGAAGGAGTGCTTGTTGTGCGATGATGAGTGTGAAAGTGTGAGTCATGTGTTGTGGGAGTGTCCAGCATATGGTAGTCTTAGGAGCAATTTCTTAGTTGCCCTGCAGGGGAAGCTTGGGGATGATGGATTTGAATATTTCCAGTCGCTTGATAGTTTCAGGAAAGCATCCTTTGTATTGGGTAGTGAGCTGTGGGAGGATAAATTTGGTTCTTTGCTTGGCCTTGTTAAAGGTTTGATTTTGGACGTTTGGGAGCTAAGAAGGGTTAGGTTATATGGCGATATTCCCAGCGTACAAAAGACCCAGTTTCAGATTGCGTCTGGGGAGCTGCAGGGTGTCGCTTGTGGAAGGGGTGAGTTGAGGTGTCTGGGAGGTGAGACATTTGTTAACGGTTCCACCCATTGCTCTGGGTGTGTGGTCTATGGCCCTAGTGCTATGGCAGCCTCCTGAGTATTATTAATGCCTAGTATTATACCCATGTATAAATTCTTATGGACTTATGAAGGCTCTGGGCATATATATATGCCCGTGGCTGCATGGCTAAGGGTTTTAAAGCAAGGCCTCCGAGAAGACTACCACTGGAAAATCTGAGAAAAGTTACTATTATAGTTCACAAGCGTTTTTAGCCATGCGATATAGACATCCATATGCAATCACAGCCATTTTTAAACCCAATGTTTTTTTATGACAACACGAACCTAAAGATAATATCTCTGCAAGGTTGCACAGGTAGATTCGTCGGGTATACATAGCTACTCGTTCTCAAGAGCAAAAGTTTTCCCTTCAAGCAGCTATTCCATCTGTAAAAAGGAGCTTCACTTTATAGTTTTAAGAAAGGATTGTGATGTTTGTAGACACCTGTTCTTGCTCCTGGTGGCTTTATTGGGCATTACATAAAGCCACAGTTAACTTTTTGACTTGTAACGGGCTGGGTTATAGACATAATCCAAACTGAGAAGGATATAATTCCAGTAGTACAAAAGACTTTTCGAGGGCCCAAACGAGTCACATAAAGTAGCAATTCATTTGGTGAGGCTTTCATAGTGCACTGTTTATGCCTGCTGAACGCATCTGCTTTTGTCACCGCCTGCGTGGTAGCTAAACCAAGGCCCCTCGATACAATGTTTTGGTTCTCTCGTACTATAGCCATAATAGCTAGTTAAATACTGACTATTGAAGTGTAGCACAAACGTTTCAAGTTTGCTTTTGCCTAGCAAAAACATCTTGAGTTCTACGTACTAGTTCAAGTACCTGCGCGCTCGTGCTACATGACCTTCTTGAACTTTTCCCGTACCCAATAATTTCGATGGAGTATGAGCAAAGACGGTACTCTAACTGTTTGTAGTCCTTTGCCAAACTGCTCTCTATTTTCCTAACTGTTTTCTATTGGTGTGGTCCAATGTTATCATAACTGATAGCTTGCAACAGAGCTATCTAATGGATTTGTTGTAATTCTTTTTTCTGGCTTCAGACTACAAATGCACTTAATGTTGTAGTCATGATAGAGGAGGAGGGAAAAGGGTATAGCTACACTGACTGGTTGGAGTCGACAGTTTGCAATGATGTGAGGTCACAGAAAATATTACTGAAATATTTTTGCTTATGGTGATCTGGTCCTGTCTAATGCCATCTGTATCTGGGAAGCCAGGTACAAGAGGTTGCTCTTTTTCAAAGTAGCTATGAGGCTCTCCCACGACACCTCCGCCCACTTCCCTGCCGGCCACTCCCTCAGAACCTCCATTGTGATCCTCTCTGGGTCTCTCATGAATTTCTCTCTCTTCACAGCCATCGTGTCCCCATGTCGTCGTTGAGAAGAAAGGTTCCAAACGTTTCATATTTGTCCCTTACTTGTAGCGGCAAATTCAACTGCAACAATTCACGCATCGTTGGTCGTCCACCTGAGACTATATAAAAGAAGATTTTTGTCAAAGAATTATGAGAGAAATGGGTATGACAACATCATGAGACACGACTCATACATACTTGACACAGGAGGAGCCGAAGTTGTCCTTCTCACAGATGATGCCCTGTTCAGTTTCGAGCCTATATACAAACAGATCAACGTATATACGGTGATGCAAGAAGCTGTAAGGTGCATGTTAACACGTTAACCAACATTGACCTCAATCACATGATCAGTTTTCTTCTTCCTTAAAAAATGTATTATGACACTGATTTGAGAAGTTAAAGTAGGTATCATCTCAGAGCTCCCAAACACCTTAGAACAAGAGTAACTATACTGGACGAAGGCAAGTTGCGGCTATGTATCTATTATGTTTGTTCACTGTGTACACATTAGCTAAAGGTTTTTTGACATTTGCTTATCGAGTGGCATGCCTTTCTGTTAGTAATAGGCATTGGTACTCTCTTTTTGTACACGGCAGAGCAGTTGGGCATACAATCCTCCTCACTGAATTTCGAACAAAATAAGGTTGTTTAGTACATAATAATTCTTCTGAAAGCACATAATTTGATTTAAGCCTTTTCTGAGCCTACCATATAGTCGTTGCATGTGGGATTTTTTCTTATCATGTGATGGGCAATCAGGCACTGCACACACCGTAAAGTTCTATGTGATTCTAACTACACGCAAATAATGGAATGTCATTCTAAAAAGGTACGTGTAAAAAATTTACATGCTCGCTCTCGCTCGCCAAAAATGTATGTCATTCTTTTAGACATGAAAATCTCCCCTAAAAGTGGCATGCTATCTATACCTGCTGGTGGAATTGGTGTTGATGTTGGATGGGGCATTGTTTCACTTCTCATATTCCGAAACTCTGAATAGTGATAAAGAAGGCAGTAAACAAAAATACACGTTGACGTACGAGTTAGTAACTTACCATCCACGGGAGAGGTAAGCCATAATCGTTGGTTTCAATTCAGGGGGTGGAAAACTTTTTCTGGTTTTAAACAACAAGTTAAAAGGTTTTCAAAATTTTCCATGCTTGCAAGATGAGGGGATCTGGAGCATTTAGAGCTCTGCTCTGGGCAAGGAAAAGACAGTGTGGGCATTTTCACTTCATAGTTCAGGTTTCCCAAAGCTTGCATCATTGCTGTGAAATCGCGAATTTCTTGATAGATTTTTGCAGGACTGTGCACTATTGCCGGCAATTCCACCTCTACTAAGAAGTAAGAAGAGACAGGATCAATGAAAGTCAGTTTTCCAGGAAGTCTTTTAGGCATCTTAAAAGCAACACTGTTCCTAGCCACCATAACCACATCGTCATTCTCAGTCAGGAGTTCCCATCCAGCGTTTGAGAGCAGGTACGCAACAGTGCAGCAGAAGACTCCAAGCATTGGACTCTTCTTGGAGAAGTGAAGAGCGAAGGAAGATCGCAGAACATGGTCATCTGTTGGTGGTGGGGATGGGAAGAAGATGTCTCTCATGTCCATGACGCAAGGCATCATAAACTCATCCTGGCTAACTTTGGTGACCACCAACTTAGATACAAGGACAGCAAGTAGGTTGTGTGGCTCGAACAGACCCTCAGTGTAATGCTTAGAGAGCCTTGGGGAGTTTAGGATCTCGAGGGACATGATTCCTTGCTGTAGAAACTTCCTCTGAGCTCCATCCATGGCCCCATTGTGACCTTTAAGCTCAAGGTGGTATGCAACAAGCTCAGTGATTTTGTCGAGGATTACCTGAGAGCTGGCAAAAATTACACTTGGGAGGACGTCAAAGAAAGAGAGAATGTTCAGCTCACGCAAGTATTCAAGTGCAGCATTGAGAGAGGGAATGTCAAACTCGAGCTTGTGGCCTATGAATTCACACTCTGTGCGACTTAGACATTGGCGGCCAAGCTTCTGCATCAACAGGTGTAGAGCTACTTCGTAGCCGTACCATTTCAACGGAAGGTTCCTTGACTTTACTTTAGACTTGCTAAGTAGAGTTTTTTTCAGAGTCTTTACTTTATCAAAATCTGAATTTCCTGGTTTCCTGGCATTGATTCTAAACGTGACATGCCTGAGGGAACCACCGGCAGTTATCACGGACTCCTGCATATCTTTCCGTTATGATTCCATGGAGCTGTTCATCTTTTTCATCTGGAGATTCGGTGCAGGTGTGGGAGTAAGTGTCGAGGTGAGTTCCCACAAAGGCAAGGCTTGGCACATGCTCATCACCGTGGCGTTTGGCCTCAGACTGAATAACCTGAAGGCTGTGGCGGATCACTTGCTCATTTGTAAAGTGGGATTTATACGGTGCGCACATCGCTACCCCCTCTCTGTAGAAAGCCACCTCCCCGCAAACTGCCAAAGGCTCACATAGGTTGAAGATGGACACAAGGCCCGAAAGCTCTGGGATGAAAATGGAAAGGAGGTCGTGGAATTGAGGCTGGCCACCCGAGTCGATGATGCGAATGGAGTGAGACACGAGAACATCCTGTATATTACCTTCACCAGACTGCTCTACAAGCTCCCGGAGACCACGCTGGAACTCTGCGAAGAAGCCCTCAATGTTGTCAGGATCATCACCTAGTGTGGTTGCCAGGGTTTTTTTGAACAAATTGTTAATTCCGACGCGAAGTCGACCTACCACTCTATTAAACCTGGCTCTAACGGAGGAATCGAGATACCTTGATGAACCAAAGTAGGCTTCTTTCCGGTTGGTTTCATCTGTGGCTTCTTTGACCCATTCATATTTTATTCCTTTCTTCTCCTCGGCCCATTTCTGATACATCTGGTGAGTTGTGTGGGCAACCATTTTTGATAGGCGACTGTAGTCCACCTCCTCCCAGTCAGCAGTGTAGGTTGTGGTGGATACCTCTCGAATGGGGCTGAGGTGAATGGGTCGATTGGCGACTGGAGTACTGATGCGAATGAGATCCCGCTATTTCCCGAGGAACATGGCGATGAGACTTGACTTTCCCGCCCCTCCCCGGCCCATGAATCAGAAACTTGTCATCTTTGTGGGGAATAAAGCCATCTCGAAGAGCTGCTTTTAGGATTTTGCGCATACTAATTTTTTGTGCAGTGTCATCTGTGTAGATCAAGAAAAATTAGGAGATAAATGACAAGTAAAAAAGGCACTCAGGCAGGCAAGGCAGGTCCAATTACTTCAATAGTGATTACTAAAACTGTGCCTACTAAACTGAATTGTATTCCGAAGTTGTTCAAATCTTAAGCTCTTACACGTGCCAACTACATCAGTCAACACTATATAGATTCAATGCTCACGTGCACGAAGGACTTTTGACAGGTAAGCGATGCTCATTATTGGCTCTTGTTCATGTTCGTAGAAAATCTCTATCTAAAAAGGTGACAGACAGACACAACCAACAAAAGTAACCCTATCTGTGCTTTTCGTGCTAAGGTGTAAATAATGCATGGTAGCTAACTGAATGTACACAGTTGCTTAGTGCTTCAGTCTGCGAGCCTGACAGACGGGTAATGTTAACAACCTCTGCAGTGTAGGATGTCGTAGTGTACAACAATGACTCAAAGCTTCAGTGGCTATAATAACCACAGACCAGAAAGGGGGTGTATAGTTACTAACATTCCATTTTTTTTATCAAAGTGGGTCATCCCGAGCCAGATATTTTTTCACACCACACTCTTCACTGGGGAATTATGTACCTTGAAGAAGCCCAACAATGATTATGGTAATTGGTAAAATCGCTCGAGATTAGGTGGCAAATATAATACAGTGGAAAAACATTCATTTAGGATTTTTATGCTGTGACAGTTACGCCTATTTAATATACTACACATAATGTGAAATTACACTGGATACTGTACAGCTATATAAATTGTACAGCTAGGCATTCTTCTCTAAGTGATCCCTCACCATGGACAAAACAGTTGTAATTCTAAAGTACAAACCCTCGGCGCACTGTGCATGAGCGGTACCTCTAAATTGACGGGGTAATTGGTGGTGGTCTCCACGCTAGTAGTTCGCGGAGTCTGACATGGGCTAGTTACACTGGTATCTAGATAGCATGTGGGAGTTGATACTCGCCCAGCATTGCAACTTCTGGTGCCTCCAAGGTACGCTGAGCGAGCAGATCAGGTCGATCAGTGCATATTGACTTTTTCACTTGTCATTTCACGGTGTATCTCTCGAACGCAGTTTTTTAAGGAAAATCACAATTTAATTTTTCAGGCACACATAGTTCAGAAGCCATTGGTATCACTCATAGGCCGCCTCGTAGCCTGTAGTGTTAGAAGAAGCTTCGACACACACACACACACACATAGCTTTTTCCCCAACAATCAGCTGTCACAAGAGTATCCACATTCTGCGGCAAAAGCACTACTTTATTAATATTCATTTTAACTAGCCAGACTAATTTTATACAACCAGCACCAGAAAATCCCACACTTGCTTAACTGTCAGAGCTTTGCTTACCAGTCAGAGGAAAGGTGAGTGAGATAATAAAAATAGACACTAGCATAAGTAGCTACACGTTTTATGCTGGACTCCTCGCTGGGGAGTGGCCACACCTATTCCAGAGATGAACTCGGGTAGGAAGGTTCAAGGGACCGAAACCCGTTGTCATACATACAATGATGGAAATACTGATGACCGGTCAAATACTGACGACCGGCCAAAAAGCATTCCATGCTCATACACTCCTGTGCACATGGGATGTTGGCGTAGTAATTCTCTAGGCTAAGACAGCAAGAATGTTTGGTTGCTGCCTGGGCGATGCGGGCAAGAGCCCTCCAAGCCCTGTTTTCCCCCCTTTCTTCTTGACTCTTCTCCCTCATCTCTCCTCACAAATCACACAACACACACAGACACTGATGCACATGCGTGCTGAGGGTTAATCACCCCACCAAAGCATAAGTCTACAATCACACTATGCAAGGGCTGGGTGGAAACGAGGAGACATGAAGTGTGCATTGTTTGTCATGAGGTTTTCTGCTTCGTAGGGGACACCAAAATACGGTTTCTGTTGTTGGACTAGAGGATCAGTAGGGCTGGGGACACCAAAATACGGTTTCTCTTGTTAGACTAGAAGACTTCCCGACAGGAATTACCATGCAGCAGGGCCAGTAGCTGCACTCTCCCTTTTAGCATCTAATACCTACCCGAGAGCAATACCTATATACAGTCATCGCGCTGACGCCTACGCATTGGAAGTGTCTTTTCCAAGCCACAACGCCTTCGTAATAGTCTCGTGCCCAGACCTTCATGTGCTCCCGCGTGAAAGAGGGTGTGGTATGTAAGGTACAATTTTTTGGTTGTGCTGAGTCAGCATTTCGGAAAACAGGTAACCCAATCAGATTGCCGGATTTAAAACTATCATGTGATATGAAGGCGATCTGCAATGCTGACCGGTTCTGCGCGTGCGCACCCCAACAAATGGGAACACTGACCAGGTAATCACATGACTGACAGGTTGAATTATGCAATTTACATACTCATGCTGATTCAAAACAACCAAGAAATCGGACCTTTCTTACCAGACCCTCTTTCGGGCGGGAGCACGTGAGGGTCTGGGCACGAGACTACCTTTGAGGTTGGAAGAGCTCACGTGTAGAATTCCAATCAGCGGTGTAAAAATGTGGGGTCAGTGCCGCTGTGGTGCTGACATCCAAAGTGTATGGCCGAATTTTGCTCCACCAAAAGAGTGAGGACACGCTTGAAATCTTAGAGAGAGTTGTAGAAAAAGGTATATATGCTTTGCTTAGTTATAAATCCTGTATACTGAGTGGCAGAGGCCGTCTGGCTGTAACTCGCTGGGTAACCAGGGGTAGATATATAGGGGTTGGCGAGCTTTTCTGAATCTTCTGCCTAAGGTAGACCTATGCACTAAAAAACATCCCGATATTGGTTTTGCTTCGGTTCATCGAGAGCTTTGTTTCTGCCATACATTTTCTACGGAAGACAATGTGCTGACTCAGAGCAGAGGCATTACGTAACTCCCAACCTCCTCTGTCTTCGCGAAACGCTCCAATCGCCATGGTGCACACGAATTCACAACCGCACTCAAACCAGTTTTACCAGGCCGGTTGAGGGTGGCTTGTGGTTCTACGCCCGAGTGCAGGCACCCTGCATACTTCTTGCACTCAGGCGTATAATACGCAGACCGGCCTGGTACATAAACAACTTGTATGAACAGGAAACACTCATCCAGTAGCTATATGACTGGGCAAACTTGATAGCTGCTGCTTCTATGTTTTCCCCTGGAAATGCTAAACAGTTTTTAATCCTGTGCACTATTTCAGAGGAAGAGGAGTTAGCTAATGCTTCCAAAAACCCCTTAGCTCTAGAGCTTGTCAGTAACAATTAAAGTTTGCACATTGAAAAACTTACCAGGAAGTCCGACAGCAATTTCAAGTGCTGCAATGATAGCCTCGTCAAATACTGCTCTCACTCCCTTCCCTGTTTCAGCTGAGCATTCGAGGAACTTCACAGCTCCAATTTTCCTCTGCATATTAAGACCCTCGGCGTGTGTTACTGGCTCAATTTCTTGTATCCTCCGCTCCTGTAATTTGGCCGCATCATCCCTCTTCTCCAGTTTGGTGCCGACAAGGATCATTGGTGTTCCTGGACAGTGATTTTTCAGCTCCGGGGCCCACTTGACTAGGACATTTTCATACGAAGATTGGCTTGCGATGGAGAAACATACTAAAAAAACATCAGTATTCTGGTAACGAAGTAGCCTCAACATTGAATAATCTTCTGCACCGCCTATCGTTACTGTAACTGCTTGGGTTTCAAACACAGTTGGCTTGTATTCTTTGCGGAACTTGTCAGTTGCGAAGGAGGCAAGAAGACTGGTCTTACCGGCGTCGTCACCCACAACAACACATTTTATTGCTTCCATTAGAACTGTGTGAGGAACAGCCCGAGAAGGAGATTGCCCTGTAGACTGTAGCTATAGGTAACTGAATTTCGTCTTGTAGCTGGCTACTCCTAGCTGTTTCGGTACGGAAGAGCCGACGTTGTGCCTTCGGAGCTCATCAATCTTGCATATGAATTGAGGGTCCGAAACGGGTGGGACCACATAACGCCATGTCGTGCGCGCGCCGCTTATCTGCTCCGTATAGCTCCGTTCACTATAGTATATTACAAGGCCGACCCTGCTTCGGCACGCGCACACGTCGCTCCGGCTGGCCGGCCGCACCGCGATGCCGATCAAGTGTGCGCACACATGATAATACCACGCTCCGGGTTTTGCACAAATCACTGTCCAGGAACACCAATGATCCTTGTGAAATTCCAGGATAGAGGCACGAGAAATAAGTAGGATGGAATAAGAAACTTGTATAAATTCCCTTGGGACTCTACCACCTAGCTGGCCTACCACAACTTGAACCTCACGTGATTGAACGGAGGCTTGAGAAGAGTATATCTGAGAACAAGAATGACCACACTACTAACAGTTTTACTTTACAGGCACAGAAGTGAGATTGTTTCTGTAGCCCGCTATAATTTGCTCAATGGCATAATATGCGCCGGCGACAGCATTATGGGCCTCAGTGTTCTGTGGCGCATGACTACTGTTAGATTCCAATCTTTGTGCAAAGTTTAATCTCCATATAGATACGCTTGTCTAAACTGAACAAGAAGAAGAATGTCGAAAACTAACTAAATCAAGTATAATATTATACAGATTATGCGATGTCAGCCATTTCTTGGATATAATATAAAATCCAAGTTACGAGCATATTTCTGGGATCATTTCATGTCCAACTTCGATTCAAACAATATGTGGTTGGTGATTTGAAACATGTATAGTGACCAGTCTATTGTATGGTTACTTTGCGGTAGAATGTGGTGCCAGCTTTTTCTAAATGAGTAAGGGGATGTGTGGCTACCATACGTATATAATACTCTTTTTGCTAAAAGAATGTGTAGGCAACTCATTTAGATAGTAAGATACCGATTCAATTTTCAGGTTGGTGGTTTTGAAAAATGTATAGTGACTAGTCTATTTTATGGCTAAGGGATAATTAGAGTGGGTATGTGGCTACTACACTTATTGACATGTGTAGGCACACATTTACATAGTAAGATACTGATTCAATTTTCTGGTTGGTGGTTTTGAAAAATGTAGAGTGATCAGTCTAGTTTGCTATAGAATGTGGTGCAGCTTTATTCTCAGTGAGTAAGGGGATGTGTGGCTACCATATATCATACACTTTTTGCTAAAAGAATGAGTAGGCACTCATTTTGATAGTACTATAGCTACTGCTTTAAACTGAAAAGCACTGAAGTGCAAACCCTCGGCGCATTGTGAGGCGCACGCGTAAGCAAACGCATGCGCCGGACCACTAATTGATGGGCTGGGTTTAGTTTTAGCTGTTACTCGTGGTCTCTTGCAGGCTCGCGCACAGTCTGACGCGGGCTAACTACACTACTAGATAGCATACGAGAGGCGATACACGCCCTGCGTTGCATCTTCTGGTGCCTCAGAGGTACGCAGAGCACGCGGATCGATCAGACCGCGGTAAGCCATCCCGTCCGTTTCGTATTTGCATATTGGCTTTTTCTAGCTTTGCAACGGAGCAGTTTCAGAGAAAACCCCACAAATTTTCTGACCTTCATTGCCCGTTCAGTAGGTGGTATCCTTTGTGAGACGAAAGAACATTCGAGAAGTGAGATGAAGAGTAACAGACAGACTGACTGACTGACAGACAAACCCAATGAAAAGCACTAAAGTGCAAACCCTCGGCGAACTGGGGATGCGCGGTACCGCTAATTGATGGGCTGGGCTGCTATTAGTATGCGTTTACTCGTGATCTCCCGCTAGTAGCTCGCAGAGAGTCTGACACGGGCTAGCTACAGTAGTAGATAGTATGCGAGAGTCGATACACGCCCTTCGTTGTGACTTCTTGTGCCTTCAAGATACACAGAGCAAGCGGACGACCCGGTCGAGGTTATAAGCGCATGCGCATTTTCCGCAGCGATAAAAATGGCCGACTACGCATTAGCCGTACAATGGTGGAAGCGCTCTAGCTCTGCAACGGAGCATTTTCAGAGAAAACCCCACATATTTTCTGACCTTCGTCGCCCGTTGGGTAGATGGTAGCGTTTCTGGGACGAACAGACATTCGAGAAGTGAGATTGAGAGTAACAGACACACGACAACACACCCCAACTACAGTACCCTCGCTGCGCATGCGCGCCGAGGGTAATGAAAAGCACTGAAGTGCAAACCCTCGGCGAACTGCGCATGTACCCTAAAATTGATGGGCTGGGCTATTGGTCGTTTACTCGTGGTCTCCCGGAGTAGCTCGCAGATTCTGACACGGGCTAGCTACATAGCACGCGAGAGTCGATACACGCCATTCGTTGTGACTTCTTGTGCCTTCAAGATAGACAGAGCAAGCGGACCCGGTCGAGGTAAGCCTGTGCTAAATATAAGCGCATGCGCATTATCCACCAGCGATAAAATGGCGACTACCGGCATTAGCCATACAATGCTGGAAGCGCTCTAGCTTTGCAACGGAGCATTTTCATAGAAAACCGTTCGAAATTTCTGACCTTCGTTGCCCGTTAAGTAGGTCGTATCGTTTGTGAGACGAACAGACATTCGAGAAGTGAGATTGAGAGTAACAGACACAGACAGACCCAATGAAAAGCACTGAAGTGCAAACCCTCGGCGCACTGTGACGCGCACGCGTGAGTAAACGCATGTGCCGTACCACTAATTGATGGGCTGGGTTTAGCTGTTACTCGTGGTCTCTTGCCAGCTCGCGCAGAGTCTGACGCGGGCTAACTACACTACTAGATAGTATGCGAGATCTTCTGGTGCCTCCGAAGTACGCGGATCGATCCGACTGTGGTAAGCCATCCCGTCCGTTGTGTATTTGCATATAGGCTTTTTCGCGCTCTAGCTTTGCAACGGAGAAGTTTCAGAGAAAACCGTTCGAAATTTCTGACCTTCATTGCCCGTTAAGTAGGTCGTATCCTTTGTGAGACGAACAAACACCCGAGAAGTGAGATTGAGAGTAACAGACAGACACTCACACAGACAAACCCAACTACTGTAACCCTCGCTGCGCATGCGCGCCGATGGTTAACTACAGTACCCTCGCTGCGCATGCGCGCCGAGGGTAACTACTGTAACCCTCGCTGCGCATGCGCGCCGAGGGTTAATTACTTCAAGGCCACCAATACAAATCACTTGGTTGTTCGTGTTGTAGCTCCATTTTCCTTGGAATATGGGGCCACATTGAGGCTCCCGAAGTTAACTTATTGCAAACCATTTCTCGCGAAGTAAGCTGATATAACAGTTCTTGAGAATGTCACGTCAACTCCCTTAGAAACGCGACCAAAAAACGCTACGAAAGAGACGGCAAACAAGAAATGGCGCAATTACTTCATGGCCACCAATACAAATCACTTGGTTGTTCGTGTTGTAGCTCCATTTTCCTTGGAATATGGGACCACATTGAGGCTCCTGAAGTTAACGCATTGCAAACGATTTCTTGGGAAGTAAGCTGATATAACAATTCTTGAGAATGCAACGTCAACTCCCTTGTGGCAGTAAGGAATTTGTAGCCACGGCGGCGCCATATTCAGGTATTAGTGTGTTTTTTTTAAAAATAGTTTAGCACAGATGCAAGGAATACATGTAAGTAGCACTCAATTGCTAATACGAGACATGATTCCCATGAGAATAAAAATAAATAAGATGACGTTTGAACAGAGAAAAAGAGGACTCAGAACATAGAATACTATCAAGACTGTTCCACAGTCTAATAGTTGCAGGAACAAATGAGTGGTACATGGAATTAGTACGGGAGAAAGGATGGTGTAGAGAAAAAGGATGAGAATGATAGGAACGGGAGGTGCAATAAGAAAAAACATCAAGGTCAAAAAAACACAAGCTGTTCACAATTTTGTACAGGAGACAAAGTCTAGCCACCTCTCTTCATTTCTCAAGAGACAGAACACCAGTTTTATCCAGCAAATCAATGTAACTGAGATCCCAACACCATTCGCAGAGCAAATTTTTGGACCTTTTCTAAAAGTATTTTATCGCTCTGTGAGGAAGGAGACCAAATTGCAGCAGCATATTCCAGGTGAGGTCGAACCAGTGACTTGTAAAGCTGCAAGAGCATTGTGTCTGGAAGATGTTGGTAGTAGTTCCGATAAAGAAGGCCAATCATCTTCTTGGCCTTCATACAGACATGCTGAGTGTGCTGACTCCACGATAAGTCAGAGGATATGTGCACTCCTAGGTACTTGTAGGAGCTAACACACTCCAGTAGTTGACCTCCCAGATGTAGAGGAGATGAGGGTTTGAAAGAAACCTTTTTCCTTGATATCATCATAAATTTACATTTATTGCCATTTAGTGTAAGGGCATTTTGCCTTGACCAATTATAAACATGGGTAATATTCTCTTGCACTGACACAAAGTCCTCAGGGGAGTCAATGACTTGGTAAAGTAGCACATCATCTGCAAACATGTGCAGTCTTGGAGATCCAGAAGAAGTAGTACGTGACAGATCATCAATATAGATGAGGAAAAGCAGGGGACCCAGAATTGATCCCTGAGGCACACCAGAAAGAACAGGCGATAGCGTTGACTTAGCCCCATTTACAACCACAAACTGACGCCTTTCAGTCAGATAGTCAGTAAGCCATCTCAGGATAACACTGTTCAGCTGTAGATGTTATAATTTTGAGAGAAGAGGTCGATGAGGAACACTGTCAAACACTTTCTGATAGTCAAGGAAAATAGCACATACTTCCTGACCTTTTTCAAGAGTAGCATGCCAATCATGGGACACTGATAACAAGGCAGAGACGGTTGAACGGTTGGAACGAAAACCCCACTGCCTGGTAGATAATTCGAAGTTGTAATCGACAAGGTGCTCTTGAATCACGTTATACGTATGCTTTTCCAAAAGTTTTCCAAGTATACATAGCAGTGATAGCTATAGGCCGGTAATTACTTGGTTCAGACATCTTGGTAGATTTTGGAATGGGAACAACCATTGAAATTTTCCACTGGTCAGGAAGCTTGCCACAACGTTCATACTGTTGTTTCCAATATAGCTACACAGTTCTTTAATAATTAAAAGCTGAAGTTTTAAAAGGTGTAAGTTATATACCTCATAACAGCAATTCAAGATACATGTAACACAGCACTTTAGGCGTGGCAACGCGCAGGACACAGCTCGTTGAACTATACAGAGCTATAGCGTGGGATGGCCTATGGCTGTGTAGGGGGGTGTCACAATATTGCATTCCTTTGGGCAGACAGATATAGTTACAAACCACTAAAACCATGAGGTATATATAAGAGCTCCAAACTCACTTTGCAATAGTCTTTTGCTAGCTAAGGAAGACAAGAAAATGATGAGTATCTCCCTAGCACTTGTCTTTGTTGTCCATGTTATTATTGTTGTGGAAAGCTCTAAGACAAAGGGCAATGTTGTGCAAGATTCTGAAACGTACACAAAGAGTTGGGTTGTTGAAATTGACGGTGGAGCGGAAATGGCTAACAAAATAGCTGCTGAAAATGGTTTTAATTACATGGGAGAATTACACGTAAGTATCACTTTATTAGATTCGAAAATTCGAAGGTTCTAAAGTTTTTTCCAGATTGGCAGCGGCCGGAAATTTTATCACTTTCAACTGACAGAAAGTGAAGAAAAGGCAATGAAAACAGATTCTCCATTCTCGGCGAAGACACAGCACCTTCTCTCTGAACCTCGCGTAAGGATGCTGCAACAATGAAATCATAATTATAGTGGTGTATTGGTTAGGTTGGATATGTCGAACAACAAATACTCAGACCGCGTGTTCGGAAGTCGTATTCAGTTCCCACCGATCCTCTTTTCAGCACCCAATGGAATGTGGTAAGTATGGAGAATAACGTTTGAGGAGTTGCTGCATGCAGTGTGTTGCAAATTTTTTTAGCTAAACACAGGGCAATTTGATGGTCAATTTATTGGAAATGATTTGAATGTTGAGCCAGCCTGGATACAGGGATACAGTGGGTGCAATGTCACTGTCGCTGTTGTCGATGATGGTAATAATATAGAGAAACTCCTGGTCATTTGTACTCATTGTGATAATATTGTTACCCTTTTGTAGGACTGGACATTTTTCACGAAGACTTGTTCAACAATGTCGTAAGTGTACATCATTATCGGCCAAGCTAACATGCTATGACCAGCAGACTCGAATATCTGTAGCTATATAGCTAGGCAATCATGCGTAAGAGCCCAGTTGCAGAAACTAATCGAGCAGCGGCAATGACATAGCGTGTGTTCGATTTAATGTGTAGCTGAGAGAGAGTGAGTAGAGAGAGATTGATCGTCGGTTAATCGAACAAACTCAGTGACCCTGGAAAAACTCTCCGTGAGATGCTCCATCAAGCACATATATACTGAACGTCAAAGCTCATGGTAGGCAAGCTCAGTAAACCGCACGTTATAGCACCACGAAAGGGTAAGACGCACCTTGTGAGACTCACGAATGATTGTCGTTGCAAGAGAAGCATTGCAAGAGACGTGCCGCGATGGTGTCATAGTCTAATTGCATGTGGTGTGTCACTGGTACCTAAAAACTGAAGTCTATTCTCTATAGTATAGCTTTGCTGTTGTGACTGATTTTATAACATTTGAAAAATTGATGGTTTTTCTCGTAGGTTGGTAAAGTTATTTATGACTTTGTTGAAGGTGATCTGGACCCATCCAGTAATAATCCATGGCATGGTACTAGCGTTGGTGGGATCATTGGATCTATAAAGGATAATTATGTGTGTGGTGTGGGAATTGCTTATGAAGTCAACTTGGGTGGTAAGTTAGCGTGAATATAGCCACTGAAATTCAAAAGGAGGTCTTTCGTGCACTTACTGCAGGTATTGCTTTGTTGGGCGCTGGAACTGATATGAATGAAGCATCTAGTCTGACGTTCGCGAATAATATTGTTGATATATACAGCAATAGTTGGGGACCAAGTGATGATGGAGTAACGGTAGGTGGTCCAGGAATGCTAACAACCATGGCTCTGGAGGCTGGAGTTACTGAGGTATACATCGTTGTTGGTGATACAAGTCGCTTTTAAAAAGGTTATTATCCTCAGGGTCGTGGAGGGAAGGGCAGTATATACGTGTGGGCTAATGGTAATGGAGGATATGATGATGATGATTGTGCAGCTGATGGCTATGCCATTAGTCCATACACCATATCCGTTGGAGCTCTGGGAGTTTATGGTTCCCCCAGTCCCTTTGATGAAGTGTGCTCTGCAAAGCTGGTCACTGCTTATGTCACAAATCCATCTGGAAACTCTGAAGTGGTATGTTAATGACTGACATGTTACTAAAATAGGAAAGAAATCTTGTGATTGAAACCAACTGTCACTAAAACTTATACGTTCACAATGATTTTATGCAGACATCTACAACTGTTGGTGGAGGATGTACTCTGTCATTTGGTGGAACAAGTGCAGCCACACCCATGGTCTCGGGAATTATTGCTTTAACCCTCGAAGCTAAGTATGAATGTAATCACTCGTAAATACAGCTAGAGGTTATTGTTAGCAATTAACTTAGCTAGTACTAGTGCCTTGGGTCCAATTGAAAAAAAGCAGCTATTGTAGAAAGCCTCTACACAATGCTACCCACTCCTTACCTGTGCACGTTATATAATAATATTCCACATTAGAATGCAATTAAAATGAAGTGTTTAACTACCTGTAAAAAAATGTGTTCTAGAACTAACACGTTACTCCTCCTATTCCAGTGGGACCCTCAAAATTGTCCCAAAAATGCAAACTTTACTTTAAAGCTTCCTACCTACTAACCATGACGCTATGTAGTACAAGTGGAAAAATCATTTCTTCAAAATGAAAGGGGGATATAGGGATGGCTTGAAGCACCAAAAAGGAAGAAACAAGGGGTCATTACACAGCAAAGTTGCACAAAGCTGCATGACACCATTCCTATATCTTTGTTTGATATTAAACTTTGCTTATAAACAATAAAACAAAGATATAGGGATGGTGTCATGCAGCTTTGTGAAACTTTGCTGTGTATATAATGACCCCTTGTTTCTTCCTTTTTGGTGCTTCAAGCCATCCCTATATACCCCCTTTCATTTTGAAGAAACACTTGTTTCCACTATTTTTAACAGCACTGCATTTACTCTGATGTTCATGGGTATGTTGTCAACTCAACTGGTAATGCGCATTGGACAACGCCGCCCCTGCCTGGCGCATGCGCGCGGCTCACAGATGCTGAGTTAGCAGCAAATGGCGTTGTTCAATGCCGACCATGGAAGAGCTCCAGGATCTACCGTAGTGACTTGCGGCAAGAAATAAACGATCGCTTGATGTCCGTGCACACCTCCGGCGGAATTGGAGACCTTCCGTGAAAAATCAGCGCTTCAACTGGTACTGGTAAGGAGATAGCGGGTTTAAAGAAGAAGAATAATAATTATGATGATGATGACACGAAAATCGTGAAATCGCCTATGAGCGAATTCTCGCGTGGACGACTGAAGGTGCGTATGAGGTCTTTGGGAACATGGATAGGTAGATATGGGCCCGTAGACTATTGCTAGTGTGTTTTGAAGGCCTAGGGATCACCGACATTTTAGGCGTTTTGTACGCGGATCTTTTCACCCGCGACATCCCTATATAGAGACTCTCTAATAGTTAGCTGCAGGTATGTTTAAAAACAACAGTTTACATAGTACATAATGGTCATGTGTGGTATAAGGTATAGCTATGCAGACAGACTGTCACACCCCCACACACACACAATATGTTATCTGGTTTGTGTAGCTAGCTACCCCACCAGAGGTAGCTAACCATTTAATTCACTTGGTTCACAACTACAATGTTATTTGTATCTTAGATGCCAAGTGTGTCCAATCCTGCATAGCTTTGCACCATCATTCGTCAATGCAGCAATGAATAAATATTGTACCAAGCTGTCCATGTGTTTGTTTGTGGTTTGTGTGGCTGGCAGTGTTATCCTGCCCAACGAAGCATCAGTTGCATTTTCCCCTTATATAGCCCTGATCTCACCTGGAGAGATGTGCAGTATCTGATTGTGTACACGTCTAACACTGAAGAGACTAATCCAACTGATTCAGTCACAAATGGAGCCGGTCTGGTAGTGAGTCATCAAGTTGGGTTTGGTGTGATTGATGCTGAGGCCATGGTTACCAGAGCACAGCGCTGGACTAATGTACCACCACAGGTTGTGGAAGAGGTTACCCCTACTACTGTTTTAGGGTAATTTGCATTGATAACCACGTCCTACACTTCAGCAGGTAGACCGTTTTACATTTCCTGTATAATAAACAGAGATGCTACTTATGGATCCCCTTTCGAGACAACCATTCAGTATAACGGATCAATTGCTCACATGGAACATGTCGTTGTTAATATGACAGTGAATGCAGTGTCAGGGAAGCGTGGAGATATTAAGATAGAACTAATGTCACCTTCAGAGACATATTCTACTCTATTAAGTTACCGCGATAATGATAATGCAGCTGGGGGTTATTTCGAATGGCCGTTTATGTCAGTCATGTTCTGGGGAGAGAATCCTGCAGGACAATGGAGACTACGTGTCACATCACGCAGCAATCTTACTGACATCGAGTACACGATTTTTAATGCTAAATTGTATGGAGTGTCCACCTTACCAGAATCCGTGGCTAACATTCCTGACGAGTGTCATCCAAACTGCAGTAGAGGCTGTTCCGGTGAAGGCTCTGATAACTGTGATGCTTGTTCTAATCTCCGCAATGCTTACACACTCGAGTGTATCGACACATGTCCACCAGGATACACTCAACGTAACGGGTACTGCTATAACTCAACACTACCGAACGAAGAGTGCTTCTCTCCGTTGAAAGAGAAGGAGGAAGGTATGTGTTTTTGATATTAAAGGGTATGTGGATGTACCATTATTTAAAACTGTTACTAAAAATAGAACAGAACAATAAGGCCCAATACATGAATGCAATTAAGTTTTTCTGTTTTCATTACTAGTTTCTAAACTTAGCCCTTGTACATTATACAGCCAAATTTCCTTTAATTGGAGTGATGTGATTGCGATTATGAATGCAGGTTCATGCGTTGATGCTGGATTCAGTGACTGCTGTGTTGGTGATGATTGCGAGGTTTTTTATCCATCATTTCCATCCTCCTGCTTCTGTGACGCTCTTTGTAACAAGTACCGTGACTGTTGTGATGACGTCAGCGACACTGGATGCGTTCAGAATAATGGTTATTAATTAAATCTGCATAATTTTCTTCAATTATGAATTGTTGCATAACTCTCAGACACACTGGCGGAGACTATAATTCCTTACATTTCTCTTGGAGAGACAGATGGTGTTACTACCGAAAGTGTTCCTTTTGTTGATGATGGTCTTTCTCCACCAATCCGTATTCAGTTTCCACTTGGTTCTCAGTACCAATCAGAAATCTATGTGCGTTAAGAACATTATTTGTTAAAGATTTGTGACCGACATTGTTACTGAATATACGCAGGTAGGAACAAATGGGTACTTCACCTTCGCTGAGTTTTTTGATGGATACTCACCTTTTCTCTTTGATGAGAGCACTGATCTTCCAATAGTTGCTCCATTCTTCACTGACATTGATATATCCAATGGCGTTGGTGATATTAACTACGAAATCCACACACGAAGTACTTCAGAGTACGCTATTTTCTCAAGTCGATTCCGTTATCAATGAACAGGCCGATACTAACTTTAACGGAAGATGGATGCTGGTTTCTACATGGGATAGTGTTCCACCATTGGGTGACACCAGTATTGTAAGTATAGTGTTATTTATAGCAACTCTTTTAGCATCTATCTTGTTTGAATTACAGACAAACACATTTCAAGGAGTATTAGTGACGGATTACTCGAGATCATTTGCTGTTTTCACATACAACTGTGGAGACCTGGATTTCTCTAATGGAGCTACAATTGGCTTCTCCAGTGGTGATGGTCTCTTTGCTAACCATCCGGCTATCCAAAGAGGTTCAGCCTTGTCCATTGCCTGTCTGAACCAACCTGTCACTCCATGGGTCAACGTTGTCTATGAACTAACCAGAGAAGGTGAGCAGTGAAGCTGTCATGTTTTGACTAGAATTGAGTGGCTGGTACTTGCCTGTGGCAATCGTAAGTTGTCACATCTTTACAAATTACAATGACACCTCGTAATAACATGGTAGCTGGCTTTAAGTTCCAATGCCAGTGGAATCTCTCAAGAGATACTATGCACCTTGTAACCAGCATCCATCTCTTCCATGCATCCAGCATGTAAGAGATACTATGTGCCTTGTAGAGGGATCGTCACTATCTTGGAGGTCAAGGTTCAAACAATTAGTAGGGGGTCTTCCCTATCTCAGAGGGTCCCTTATTGGAAGGTTACACTGTAAAATTACAATAATAATTATACCTGGTTTTGCATAAGCCGTTTTTCTCTACAAATTAAAGGTTTGGTATGTTCAACTTGCACGTGCCCTGATGGATATTTCTACTCTTATATCACAGAGGAATGTATACGTGAGTACTTTGGTGTTTAATAACAGAATATAGAAATAATCAATAATCCTACACAGCCCTGGATTCAGTGTACCAGTATGAGCCAACTATTCTGGAAGGATGTGATCCTGACAGGAATGCTGAATACCGCACTCATATCGAGGCCGAGATCGAGGCCTTGCTAAATGAGTATTTTGAGAATTCTCAATGAGCAAAGACAATGGATTTTGCTGTAAAACATGAATTGATAAGTAGAGAGTTGTAATTGTGATGCTTATGTAGTAAAAATTTATTTCCTCTTAGTATTATATACTCTTATTGTTAGGAAAGTAGTATTATAGCCATAATAAATTTTTTATGGACTTATGGAGGCCGCATGGGCCGGTCAGACCACATCGCCTCGCCTACTCAGGTCGCCACGCTGACATGAAGGAGAAGTTTACGGAAAGTTACAGAAGGTCGATATAACTTGGCGAGTGGGAGTCCAACTGCGCATGCGCCCTGGCTGATCCACCAGTGAGAGAACTCAGTTCAGCGGCATTCTCTGCGCTCTTCGATGCCTGACCGAGGCTGTACCAATATTGTATTGTCCTCGCACTGGCGCGGTTAAGATCGAGTTGGTTCTGCTCAAATCAAAACACAAGGCCGAGGCCAATGCACAACACACCAATCTTATATACGTGTAGTATGATGTCATGACATGCGTACAACTATCAGCTACAGCCATTGTGATGTAACAACAGTCCATACATAATATTATAGGGTATACATTACAACATGCATACACTAATACAAGTCCATACATCACAAATATCTTCGTGGTTCCAAGGTGCAAGTTGTAAATAGGCTTAGATGGCTAATGCAGTCATTGTGTGCTTGCTCCCACTTGCCAAAATGTGAAATAGCAGTAGCTTTCGGCTTCCAACGCAACGCGCACATGCGCACGTAAACGCGCAAAAGCCCACGGCTTCCGTAGAGGTAACTTCGGGCACGGGGTAACACCCGGGCATAACTCGTTATTCAGAAACAAGAGAAAGATTCGGTCACTTGATTACTACATGCCAAAGCGCTAACAAATCTTCCTCGCGTTTTTTTCGCAGCGCAAAATTTCGAGGCTGATGCAACGCCCCATGTCCGGAGTTACCTCCGCGTCAGGAGTTACCCCAATTTACCTTATCTGGGCGTGCACGATTGTGGTATAAATCCAGGAGAGACGCAAAAGAGTTGCATACAGGATACCCTCGAACCACCCCAGGCCCACCTGTATATATAACATTCCAGTAATTAAGGAAACCGCAATCGTTAGACGTTTTTTGCGCGGGTTCGCTGCTGTTGTTGATCTGCAAGTTCTGCCACTAAAGAATCGCTATGGTTCTAACCCGTGGGGTTTTACTTGCTCTAGTTTTGCAGCTTCTTTTTCTCCAATCGACAGTAATTTCTGCTAATGTGGATTGTTTACCGAGCGACAACAACTTTTGCCGTTGCTCTACCAGTAACATTACACTGGATATCACCAATATGGGTCTCTCCTTCCCGTGAGTATTAATTTACCCTATCATATTTATATCAACATCACAGCTAAAGAAAATAGCTCGCATGTTGAGCAGCAGTCTAAACCATTGTCTGGAGTTGTGTCCCAGCTTCAGGAAGGTTTAACAAACATATAAAAAATAGTGACTGTAATAGTCTTGCCCCTTAGCCCAAAACTGTATAATACTCCCTCCCTATATAGCCTTGTGATATCTCACTGAGTCTGTTCTCAATCCATAATCCTACACACAGCATTAGAGATTGAAAATCATTTATAATTTTATATCAGTCAATTTCAGTATTATAGGAGACTCCTCTGTATGTGATAGTAGCTATCATCGTTTGATCCTACATTGATCAAATTGTTGCTAATGTTTCCACAGTTAGCTTTAATGCTTGTATAAACAGCTAGGTGTAGTCTATAGCTTTATTAGCTAGCTGAACAAGCTGCTTTCTGAGTGTCGGTCCATATATACATAATGGAGGAAAATGAATTTGTTTCTTAGCTCCAGGTGGAGTTTTACACATTGGCATGGTTGCACATGGTTGTGCCTATTATATACAATTAATTGAGGTTAGGACCAAAAACTGTTTGACCTAGCTAGACTAAGTTTCGATTTTGTCTGGTTGGACCACTTTTTTAAAACAACAAAGACCTTTAGGAACTCTGTGTCAAGTGTAAACATTGACCAAGTTGAACAGATCAGCCCTTAGATAATGTTCTTTTGCCTATCTACCTCCAACTCTCATGGGACACATGCACTGGGTCACATGCACACCTTTTTGCGTACAATATCTAAACAGAGAATGTTTTCCTTGAATGTATAAAAGACTAGGAGTATAATTATAATATAGCTACATTACTGTGACC